GCCTCGCTGACAATTCAATGTTTATCTTCTGATTCGACTGCTGCATAAACTTGCTTAACTCAGAAACTGTCACCGCGAAGCTTGACGCACTGTCACTGTAAATCTCCGGAGGTTTCCTTCTTCTTCCAATAAAACGTAATAGAGCCATTAAAAATGAATCAGTAATCAAACTACACATCATTTCAATATGTACCGCCCATGTTTGCAAACAAGTAAACACATATCCATATCCTTTTTCTAATGATCTTCCTATGTGTCCTTGTTCTTTATGACAATGTCTAATTATCGTTTCCGTCACTAAGTGTCGACTGGGTAAAATTACTGGATGTTTAAAAGCATTTGGGAAATCTGAGTATCTTAGTCGACCTCCAACGCAGAGTAACCCATCAAGCATTATCAACGATAAACATTTCAGATCATCATGGCTTACTACTTTACTGTTGTTTTTAAATTCACTAAGTAATTCTCCATACACTTCTCTCTGAACCATCAATAAAATCTTACGCTTGGCAATCTCAAGCTCTTTGACCTTTAAACATCCTAGATGAACCGATCCTTCACAACTCGGTAAACGAAGTACCATCAGGAATTCGATGAACCTTCTAAACCAGGTTACAGCTCTGACTAATTTAAACCACTCAGAAGAATAAGAGAGAACAGGTGTCTTGTTTTACTTTATACTACTCAAGTTAACCACAGCAGTTTTTCTAAACTCAATATCGTCAAGAGTAGGTTCCGGACAGTCAGTGATTGTTATATAAAATTCGCCATGCAATAAAGTAGGACATTTGAACCAAGATTCAAGATCGGTCATTTTTTGTATACTTCCTCTACATAATAATTCACTTATATGCTTAACGAAACTCTTTGCTTGATCACAAGTGGTAATGGATATCAAGCAATCATCAACATAGAAATTATTCTTGACATCATCTACAACATAACCATCATAACCGTCAGAGAATATTTGGGCCGTCTTATTCAAGGCAAAGTTCGCGCAAAATGGCGATGATGTGGCATCAAATGGATGGGATGTCATTTGAAACTCGGATGGTTACCTCGACATGTCTCCCTTCTGCCACCACAGAAATCTTGGAGCTCCTCAATCAGACTCAGGGACTTTCACTTGCATGAATATTTCTTCAACATCTGCAGGGATTGCAACTGCCTCCTTGCGAAAACTTATTAATATACACCTTAACTCAGCAGTGGTATCGGGTTCTTGATAAATCACATCATTTGGGGAAACCCTGCAAACTGTGCGGCTTAATCAAGGACCACTCTAAGTTCTTCTGGTTTTTTCATGTTTAATATTGCATGATGAGATAAATACCATCGAGGGCGATAATAAGACTGCAGATATATTTCAAAGACCCTCTCCGCATAAGTCTTAGTTAAATCACTTTCACTACCTTTGATATACCTGATGTGCAGACTGACATCCTTCGACAATATACCCTTCAAACTTTGTAATCTACGGTTTGCTACTTCATAATTATCCACTTTCATATCTGGATTCTTTTTCCACGGTATAGAAACTACAAAATGACCGTTCTCGAAGCGCTTGCCACCCACAATCTTTATAGCTGCCTTGTCGTCTACTGATAATGATTTATCACTTGAATAAGCATCTGAAAACTCTACGTCATAAGGTTTACGTATTTCGTTCTCCAAAGTCTGTAATTTACTAGTATGATTAACAACTCTTTTCCTATATTCCGAATACGACGCAGGTCCGAAAACCGTCCACCCCAGCAACGTTTTCACAGCGTACGGGTTCTTCCTTCCACCCAACCGTTGGTCTAACACCCAATGTGCTTCTGGTACGTCGCAACCAATCAACAGTAAAACTTCTTCAGAATCTAGGCTATCTATTGGCACTTCACTTAAATGCGGCCACTTAACTAGGTTGTTCATTGCGGACTTTGTTGGTTTATGACCCGGTATACCTGCCACAATCAGAGCTCCTTCAATCGTAACATGTTCAGATCGATCTAAAGAATATACCTCAAAAGGCGCACTCGTGACCTTCATTGTTCTATTACCGCCCACAGTCTCAACTACCACTGATGCTTCGTCTTCGCTCAGCCCGAGAGACCTCAAACAGTTTGATTTTATCAGTGTCACATCAGAACCGTTGTGCAACAGAGCATAACCCACAATCTCAGCCTTTCGCGATTTCAACCGTACGGGAATCATGCCTAAACACACTTGACTGATTAGTGACTTAGTATATCCTCAACAATTCGAGATACCAGGTTTCTCACTCTCGCTGTGCAACAAAGAATGGTGTTTCTTTTCACAACCCTCAACGTTACAACGCTTTGTCAGCTTACATTCCATAACTCTATGTCCTTGTCTAAGACAAACGAAACAGATAACCTTGCTTTTAGCGTGAGACCATCGGTCTTGCACTGTAAGCGCTAAGAACTGTGGACATTTATCAATGGCATGGTCGTAGGAACACATACTGCATTTAGTTTTCGTTGTCGAACTATTCCCTTGCTCTGATTGCACGTGACAGTTCGTCTTCACGTTATGCCCTTTTCTTGAACGGTTTGCTAACCGTCCAAATCTACTACAAGCCACTCTCGCACGCGATGCGATAAACTGAGTGAGCTCGTCGAAGGTCGGTTCCCTGTTATCTTCAGTCAATTTATCCACCCAGTCCGCCCACTGGGCTTGCATAGGTTGAGGCAAGAGTCTCACTATTCTTTCCAAAGTAACTAAGGAATTTAGATCAGAAGTATAATTCATCTGTTCCAAGACCATAGCACAGTTTTCCATTTTAATAGACAAGTTTGATAGTTGGTCCCCGTCAACATACTCAAAATTCACAGCACTGAATAAGTCCTCTAGTGTTTCTCGAGCAATTACGTGAGACTGTCCGAAAAAACGTTTTAAAATCTCCCTTGCTCTTTTATAGCCAGAGGATGCCTCCATCATGACGCAACCTTCAATAGCTGTTTTAGCCTTGCCCTTACAATAGTGTATCAAATAGAGAAAGCGCTGGCTATCGTCCGTGACTCTTGATGCTACATACGTCTCAAATTGCCCTATAAACCTCCAGTATCCTCTTGGCTCTTCATCGAAATAACTCAGTTCAACCTTTGGTAGTGCTGGGCCAACAACATGAACTATAGGCAACATGCTCTTTCCTGGTAATTCAGGCCTTTGCTTCTCCTTTAAACTAAGATTTTTTAGGTCATCTGACATCGAATTCAGACTAGAATCACTACCATGATAATCAACCCTATTTGAGTCTGAACCATGACCCTTAAGGACGTCAAAAGGCACTTGCTTGACAATAGGGGATTCTTCAATAACATCGACGAACTTTGAGCTTGATTTCCTTCGACGATTAATTGGCATTATAAGCGAAACGACCAATTATTTCCAGAAAATCCGCGAACGATTACCAAAGGATTTCGGCCAAGTAATAATTGTTTAGAACTGTAGAATCCAAACTACAGTTTGGATAGAAGAATAGCCGACCAGGGACTTTAGACACGCTCCCTTTCCCGTCGAAATCAAAACAAGTAATCGGGTAAATAGCGGTTCTATAATTCATCATAAATTTAAATGTAAATCGTTACCTAAACAAATATTACCACCCGGCTATTCAACCAATAATTGTTCAATCAATCAAATCTAAATTACAATAAATAAAGGAGTTGATGGAAGATGAGGGAAAATTACCAGTCACAACAAATGAACGTCATTCTATCCTGACTGGATAGAACACACACAGAAGGAGGAGCAAATCAATATGGCTACCGCCAAGAACAAGTGTCAAGTAAAACAACACAGATGCAGTTCAGGAAGAAACACAAACTTAGTGAATGCGTAAGAAAAACAAAAACTATAATAAAAAAATACAAGTATTAACAACTCAAATGTAATCAAAATACAACAATGTACAACTAAGGGGATCAATAGAAACAAAGTACAAGTATATACATGGAGGGATTTTCACCAACACACAAAACCTTCGAAATGGATCTTATATTTACCACCAAGCAACTTTACAAAAAATGCAACAATTTACAAATGAGGCCACGTAAACTCAGCATTGTTTGCCGATATATTTTTTTACGTGGGATATACTGTATGATAACATTTGAGCGCTTAGGTACATTCTTCAACCATTGACCTATACATTGAAGATTCCACAGGTATTCGGAGTTTGATAACGCTTTAACCAGTAACACCTGTAGTGAACTAGAACACCACTGTGGACAATCGAATGTATTCAACACAAAATTATAGGACTTCTTAATAAAATCTAACAATCATAAAGTAAGTGCTTAATTTGCAAAATGTCCGCCAATTGTCTTAAAATGACTCAGACCTCACTGTTCTTGCAGCTTCATAAAAACTGCATCCTGTTTCCATTGTTTACTGTTCGATACCCTTGTCTCTCTGCTGCCAGACATTCTCTTCACGACCAAAATCACATATTACTTTCGTCAATATAAGTAGCACTCACCACATGTCTAATATGAATCGTACCCACCAAGTAAAATCAAAAGACAGAAGAGAGGAGGTTCGAAGATATATTAGATAGACTACCAAAATATCGAGGATAATCTGGACTAATCTGGCCAGCAATTGCAGGGGTTGTTGAGCACAGCGTTCCCACTCGTGAACTGGTGCGGATGCATTAACAGGTTCCTTCAGCTAGGTGAGTCCATTAAAACTAATGTGATCAGCATCAATGTCGAAAACTTACAGGGCTATTTATTTTGGGGATTTATTAACTGCTGCAAGATCTAAAGATTGAAATGCTGTAGCTAAATAGCGAGATAAACCGCATTGATTAAAAGTCAGTCACAATATTTTAGCTCCAAAATAAGCGTGTTAAGTACTTAACTGGTCATACTAGTTTTTAACTGGCATATTGAATTTAGGATTTATTGGACAAAACTTAGCGCTGTTTTCCGACTGTGCGCTTCGTAAATTTCGGCATGATCTCAAACGTTCAGTGATTTTGATTAGAAATGCTGGCTAGAAGTTGCAATAATGTCGGTCCCTTGGTTTTTCAGAAAAGAAATATAGCTGGCCAAATCGGGAAGCTGGCATCAAGACTTTTAAAGCTACGCTACCTTGTTGTGGGTGCGGGTGTTGGTGGCTCGTACACGATATCTAAGGTACTAGGCTTTATTTCCTTAATAAGTTCAGAAATATGACGAATTCAAAGATTCCTTGTCGAAAATAACCTTAGAAGACTACCTACCAACAGATAAGATCAACGAAACAATTCAGCTTTTTAAAGAATATGCTGCATCTATCGGTGAATCTGGAACAGTATGTTCCTGAAGTACGTTAATGGTTGCTGCTTTAGTCTGGCTCTGGGTTTTTTTCGAATTTTGAAAAGAAGCTACATGTATCAAATGAACGTGAAGCTGTGAAAGGTTTTGAAATATTGAAATAACCATATTTTGTTGCAGAAGCTCCCTCTTCATCGCTCGTTTCTGATACTAGTGATGATCTAGAAAAGGTAATACTGCACGAAAAAACGTTAATAACTTCAGCCTGTTAAACAAAAGCCCAAGCAAATTAGTGTTGAAGAATTGCAAGAAGCTCTTCTGAAGAACGAGGTATTTTAGATCATTATATTATTTATTGACTCAGTTAGCGTTCCATAGACGGATTGAAGCACTGCTTCAGGAGAATAGGGAGTTGCGCAGTGAACTTCTTCTTAAGTCTCAGAAATCTTTACAAAAAGGTCGTATCAACGTATGTCAGCGAGTCCTAGCTTAACTTGTTCCTAGAAATCTTTGATTGATATGTATTCAGAAGTATTGGATGAACTATCAGATTTGGATTCTGCATACAATGCTCAGGTAACTGTGGACAACTTGTTGAGGGACATAAAGTTGTTTTTAGAACCAAGTTCTATTTTTAACTATATCTGTTCATAATTTGTCTTCCCATGTACTTCGTAGGACCAATTACCAAGAGTGGTTGTTGTTGGTGATCAAAGCTCTGGGAAAACATCTGTTTTAGAAATGATAGTACAGGCTCGGATATTTCCAAGAGGCGGTGGAGAGATGATGACACGATCTCCGGTCAAAGTAACTCTTTCTGAGGGCCCATACCATGTTGCTTCATTCAAAGATGGTTCACGTGAATACGATCTCACAAAAGAGTCCGAACTTGCATCGTTGAGGAAAGAGATAGAGGTTAGTGATTCCACCCTAATTGGTTCATGAAGTTTGCATTAGTTTGAGGTTCCTAATTATTCTTACCAGCTGTTCACATTATGATTACTGTTTACTTTTCAAAGATTATTAGTGTAGTACGTAAATATAAGATTTTCCGTTGTATTGATTCAGTGCAAATAAACCAGTAAAAAGACAGATCCCTGTAAAGCCACCATCGTATTTATGATATTCCGTGTTTATTTAAACACTCAGTATAAGTATATCGGCATTTTGAAGGTCTTTAGGATATCTCTTGGTTCTAACCTGTTATAAAGTCGCTGGGTAAATAACAGTATCCTCATCAATTAACAACGTTTCGTTAAGTAAACGGTCAATTAATTAGATAATTAATCAGCACTGTAGCATGATTGCGATAAACCTTGCAACCTTTTTTATTTTAACCTGCATTACGGACCAGCTTAGGTAAACGGGTCAAAGGGTATATATATTGTGGAGAAGGTTCTTAAACTTATGTTTTGCTTTTTAGTGTCAAGAATAATTATTGGTAAATTATGCAATGTCGTTAGCAGATTACTATGTTACTCTTGATTGACTGGCTAATTACCGTTCGCCATTCACTTCGAACATTCTTTATCGATACTCAAGTTATTCAAGGAGACTGGATTTCGCCCATGTTTCCGCCAAACAGCTATTTCGTTTGTCCACTGTAAACTATAAAGATAATTTCCACTAAGGAATCTACCCCTGATTAGGGAAAGATTATTCATGAATTATACTCATTAGGCACATACGAGCTTGTCTCAATTTCGGTGTATGAGTTGTCAAACTCATCTATCCTATGATGTCATTTACTTACTACAATTTGACCATATATTGATGGAGTGTTGTCGCTGTTAATCACTGTCGAAATTGTTCATTAGTTCTTGTATGTTCTGGCATGTGTACACTATTTGAAGCACTTAGTCGTGAGTCAGTCAGCTACAACGTAGGACCAGGCATATATATGCATCGGTCCAGGCTGCCATACCTCATTAGCACAACAATGGTGGCAATATATGAAAGAAAGATTTCATTTAAGGATATAGTACAGGAAGAAATAAATAGTTGGTTGAAAGAAATATGTGAAGCGATTTTAATCTCATAGTTTAAGGGAAGACAAAGAGTGTATACACCAACGCCATTGTGACCGACTCTGAGTCATGTCACCCGCAGTCTCCAACCATTGGTTACGACAGTCACGTGGACCCCAACTAAGTAGTCTGCATCCACCAGCATGGCTCAGACCAAAAGTTAGTGATTTCAATGACCGATGCCAAGCTTTGGTTTGCCCTTCCCTATTATTTATTTATTTGAACACATAGATATTGGTACAAGGAGGCACCAGATACGTATGCACCACACAAATCCCATTTGATTTGTGTGAGGGCTGTGATGCTGCCCGGGTGCCCAAACCGAAGCATGTGGTTTTCTTAGGGGGTCACACCCCGAGCCTTCGACCTGAAGGTCTGGTCCACAAGGTAGTGGAGCATCGTAAGGCGATGCAGTCCCATGGTAGCCGGTAACCAAAAATTGGTTCATACGCTATTTGTTCCCTCAGGATACTGGAGCCTATGTACACCGTTGGTTTGGAATCAGGGTTTTTCAACTCCCCTAGGTGGACTCTCCATGTCCAGCAACCCGGTTAAAGCGCCGGACATTCGCTTTTCGTGCTCTCAATTTCGTAAACAACACCCCCGCCTCGAGAAGACAGTGAGTAGGAATTCCCTGGCAGAGGCCGTATACGCGTGGCTGTGTGAGAGTATTTCGGGAAGGAGGGCGAACCCACCCCGCTCTCGGCCGTACCAGGGCATGTGGGGCCCTCAACTTTCTTCCAACTGTCTCCAACACTAGTTAGCATTGCGCGTCGTGGAAATAGGTGTTCAGACATACGTAGCACGTGTCCCGATCATTTCAGTCAATGAAGATTCACAACCTCATCAACTGATTTACCGTTGTCCCCTAATACCCTGTGTCTAACCTCACTATTACTTACCTGGTGATCCCAGCAGATGCCAGCAATATTTCTAAGGCATCTGTGATCAAATGCTAGTAGCTTACGAGTATCTTCTGCTCTTGATGACCATGTTTCGCTGGAGCAACAACTGGCATTTTGAGGGGGAGAACGCACTCCAAACATTCTGGCATTGTTGCTCAGTGCTACCACAAGACTCTGCACTTTATCAGTAGTGGATCAATGCCTGAAAATTCAGTCGACGAGAACGTTATTTCCATCAGTAGGTGTATGATGAAACTAAACAGGAATGGAGAAAGTGAACAGCCTTGCTGGACACCACTTGAGTTTGGAAAATCAGATGACAGTTCGCCATAAGCTCTGACTCGACTAGTAGCATTCGAGTAAAGAGCCTTCACAAGGTTTATGTACTTCTGAGGTACGCCTTTCAATGATAGGTACTGTCACAGAACCTCCCGGTTTACAGAGTCAAATGCTGCTTTTAGGTCAAGAAAGACCACCACTGTCGGACGCTGATAAGCATGCCTGTGTTCTAAAATCTGATAAATGCCGGATATTTGGTTGATGCAGCCACGAACAGGTTTAAAGCCAGCCTGAGTTTCTCGTATTTGAAGTTCGAGAGTCTATGTTAGGCATCCGGTAATTATTGAGGCTAGTATTTTAGATGCTTTGTTAGTTAAAATAATCCCTCCATGGTTGTCACGGGATGAGTTTGGCCCCCTTCTTACATGTTGAGACAATCAGTGATTGCGACGTCAGATATGATTACGACTTGGTCGTGAACTGTAAAGGGTTTCAAGGGAACGTGGTTATAAGACAACTTTATCATCGGCTTGTTGACTACGAAGTTTTATTGATATGATGCAAAACCCACATGATTTACGTAAATCATTAGTCGTTTACAAAGTCGTGCACTGATTTGTAAATCAAACCTGTTCTGTGATGGTATAATATTGCCAAGTTATGGTAATTTTAGTCGATGTACACTTGTCCCAGGCTTTGTTTTGTTCATAAGTGACTCGGTTTTGATGGCTGAGTTTGTCTAAAGTTTAAAACCACCTAAGGGACATGCTAATACAGATAATCAGCAAATTTACCTATTTAGAAAGCTATTTGTTCACTTCTAATTCACATTTGCAGCACTGCAGTTTTAATAGTCAGCTCAAGATTTACTGGTAACTCACCTATTATTTTGGTTTTTGTGCCCTGATGTTTTCTCGTATGCTTTTGCAAATTATTCGCTTCTATAATGACTTTCATTTCCCTCTATAATGTTATACAAATTTGTTTAACGAAATCCAAAGCCGATTTGTTCAGAAAAATGATTTTGCAGTCGTACAAATTCTTTTCATGTATCAAGATGTGATAACTAAGCTAGTTACATTTTTCAAAATGCGCTCCGTAAAATATGCTTGGTTTCATTCTATAGATGCGTATGAAGGCACTTGTTAGTGGTGGTAAAACAGTCAGCACTGACGTCATTTCCCTAAATGTGAAAGGGCCTGGGCTCCAGAGGATGGTTCTTGTTGATCTACCTGGCATAATTTCTACTGTAACAACGGGTATGCAGTCTGGTACACGTGAAACTATACAGGATGTTGCTCGACAATATATGAACAATCCGAATGCGATTATTTTATGCGTTCAAGGTTAGTTTATTCGTCGTTATATTACGCCTTTTAAGGCGCATCAATTTACGATTTGTTTGCACATTTCAGTGTTGTGTTGTGTGAACTCTGCCATTTAAATTTAATGTCTCTTCCTTTCGTCGGGCTAAATCAATTACATGGCAACTATTTGTAAGTTAATCAGTAGCTCGGGTTCAACCGAGTCAACTGGTTAATAAGGTTTATGTCGCGTCATATTTTCATTTGTTTTAATTTCGCGGTACTTGTAAATTTTAAACTGTCTTCATATACTTGGTAATACTTTCCTTGTTCTTCGATTCGCCAGATTTAATTCGGCAATTTTCTAATTTCTATCCAATTTATCATTCTTTTTAAATTTCTATTGATTAATGAATAAATGTGTAGCTTAGATTATCTTCTATTACTTTGTAGTTCACATTGACCTGGAATGTTAGATACTGGTGTCTTATTGTACCAAGTAAGATAAATAAAGGCCTATTTGGAATTTAATAATTCTTGTGATGCTGAGAAAGTATAAAGATAACTGGCTTTTTCACCGAACAGCATATACGAAATATACTGGTTATATGGTACTGTTTACACCAGTTATTGAAAGGTAGCCAACATTATTTTATCTAGTCCTTTATGAAGATCGGATTTTATCGACCAATTTCGCATTATTGTTAGTCAACTACTCGACTTAGCACCACAATTCGCTTTGTACAGTGTTAAATGATTAACAACTCACCAATAAGCTTTGGACCTAGGTTTTGTACAGGTTGGAGTATCCTGTAGGAAGTAGTATTCTCTTATCTACTCCACCCGTTGTCACCCAGTGGTATGACCAAAGACATTGAAACTAAGCTATTCGAGCTTAACATAAGTTTCCTTAAGATTACCTATGTATCGTAGTAACCTGTGTTAACGAGCAGAAAACGTAGATTCAGAAGCTTACATGTACTGTCTTCATCCGTTTAATACAGCAGTATTTCTTGTAATAAAGATGATTTGATTTAGCTTTAGAAATCACTGATTCGAAACTCGATATTTTATATACTCACTTTTACATCGATCAATTTTTTTATTTACTTGTTATCCAAGATGGGAGTATCGATGCTGAGCGTAGCAATGTAACAGATTTAGTATCTTCTGTAGATCCTTCAGGTAAACGAACTATCTTTGTTTTGACCAAAGTGGATTTGGCTGAATCAAATCTGCGCAGCCCAGACCGTGTAAGTTTTTAGACGTATCATTTTTGTAAATCAATTTTCTTTAATAATAGATCAGACAAATTCTGGAGGGTAAATTATTTCCTATGAAAGCACTTGGTTATTTTGCTGTGGTCACAGGAAAAGGTAGGTCTTTTATGGACTTCATTTTAATTCCCTTTCTATCAATTAGGTACAAAAGATGAAAGCATAGATAGCATTAAAGAATATGAAGAGAATTTCTTTCGCCATTCTCGTCTATTTAAAGAAGGTACACTTCGTATGTCGCAGATGACTACAGCTAATCTTAGCAAGGCTGTATCAGAGAGATTCTGGAAAATGGTCAAAGATTCAGTTGAACAACAAGCTGATACATATAGAGGTAAATGATTAACGAATAGCTGTTTTTTATGTTCATTAGATTACCGCGTTTTTAAGTAGTTCTTAAATTTCAACGACTACCCAGATGTCTTCACAGTGCTAAGAAAAATATGCTGTGAGGACTTTTCCGCCGACCAACTCACTGTCATGTAAGGTCTTTCAAGTCCTTAGTGCAATATTTTACGAAATTTCTGAATTATTCAAATAAAAGTCTGTTATACCAACTGATATACATCTTTCTAAATATTACAATATTTCAGTGTCCAAGCTCGATATAGTTTGTTGATGTATCTTCATGCATATTTTCAAGTGAAAGGACTGTGAAGCAATCTTTTCAAGACTGAACGACATCGTTTTTTTTTGGTAATAATATTTAACATGTAAGAGGGATGGACTGATAAGTACTTCTTACCTGATCTATATCAAACAATATTAGATTCGTAGTAGGGTAGGTTGCAAATAAAAGCAAATTTCTGCTATTCGTTCATGTTTAGATGCAAATGAATACCATGAAGACACTAAAAACCCAAGTCCAATCCAAACTAATCGTATTTTAAACGAAATAGCAACAGTATAGGATCAGTCTTGTGTAAGGTTTCACTCAGAATTAAAAAAACACAATACGGTGCTTTTACTGTTTGCACAACATCAAATTAAGTTGTCCATATTTTATAAGGGCAGTTTTCGTCAATTTACCTCTAGGTGATTTTTGAATCAGTTATCTCCTTTCATGCTTCCTGGAATGAGTAGAATAGTTTTTAGCACTTAAAACAAGAATGGTGGTTATCGCAGTCTTTAAAGACTGTTCTTCGTTTCTACCATAAATAGGGATATTTAAATAATAAATAATACCCGACTAAAAGGTACTGTTTCTTGCTTAACATTCAATCCAATTGGATTTTAGTTGGAAATCGAAGTGTTATTGTTCTATATAAGAAAAGTGATGATAATTTCACATGAGTTCGCAACAATGCAAGTATTTATCATTCACATATATCATAAATTGATTTAACGTTCTTAAGTAAAAATTAGTTTTTTCATAGCCTCTGTTTCTCCTCTCACTTGTCGATTGCATCGAGAAACTCTTAGTTTAGTTAATAAATACCACAGCTTTTGAAACCCAATCAGGTTTTATGTCTAGTTTCCAAGTTTTGTTACTGATTTTCATGTATATTGTTTTTGATATACGTATTTAAAAACATCTAGATCCAGGTGATTCTACTATATTAGGAGTCTCGATTGTTCTCTACAATATTTATTGTTGAGTAATTGGCAACCTCATGCACCGATTTTTAAAATTTCTAAGTGTGTCGGCAAGCACCACTCTGTCAAAAGTGTCAGTCAGTCAGTAACAACGTAGAACTTCGTACGTACGTACATCAGTTCGAGTTGCCACACCACATTAGCACAGAGATGCACTTGTCGATTCAAATCCCATAGTGGTAGAGGTAATAAGAGTATAAGCAGTAATCGGGAAGATTAGGGTTTGGAGATGTTATTTAAAGAGTATAATCCAGTGAACGAAATTTGGAAAGAGGAAAAAAGGGACATGAAGAATTCAGAAGATTAGAATTTGGGAGAACACAGAGAGTGGATGCACCTGCGCCATTGCAAACGATTTTGAGCCATGTCATTCAGGGTCTCTAACCATCGGTTGCTGTCATCTCGCGGTCCCCAACCAGGTAGTCTACACTTACCAACATGACTCAGTTCACTTGTCAGTGACTTCATGGACTTGTGCCATGTTTTGGTTTGGCCGCCCCTAGCTTTCTTCCAACCTACTCCTATACCACTGAACATCGCACGTCGAGGCAGTCGGTCGTTGGGCATACGTAACATGTGTCCCAGCCATCTCAACTGATGAAGTTTCACTACTTCATCAATTGATTTGCCATCCTTACCTAGTACCCGTTTCCTAACAACTGTGTTACTTACTCGATGGTCCCATGATATAGGAGCAATGTTTCGAAGACACCTATGATCAAATACTAGTAACCTACGGATATCCTCTACTCTTACCGACCATGTTTCACTGCCATAAAGTAGGACGGAACGAACTGCTGCGCAGTAAACACGTCCTTTGGTTGATAGACGGATATCTCGCCTACGCCATAAATGACTCAAGTTGGCAAAAGCTAGTCGAGCCTTCTGTATCCGTGCTGAGATTTCGTCACACACCAAACCACAAGGGCTGATGAGACTTCCAAGATAAGTGAAGCGGTCGACACACTCAACTACTTCACTCCCTATCACTAGTTCGGGTGTCGATGTAACCCAATCCTGAAGCAACATTTTGCATTTCGAGGGAGAGAATCGCATCCCGAACATGCTTGCATTGTTGCTTAGAGTGGTCAGAAGACTCTGCATTTTGTCAGCGTCTTCACCAAATAAAACTATGTCATCAGCATATTCTAAGTCAACAAGTGAACCTCCTGGTAGGAGTTCAACCCCTGTATATTTAGATGAGGAGAGTGTTACCTCTAAAAGTACGTCAATGACAAAGTTGAACAAGAATGGGGAGAGTGGACAGCCCTGACGAACACCACTTGAGGTGATCAATTCTGATGACAGTTCGCCATAAGCTCTCACTCTACCAGTTGTGTTCGAGCAGAGAGCCTTTACAAGGTTAATGTACTTCTTTGGTACTCCTTTCAGTGACAAACACTGCCATGGAACCTCACGATCAATAGAGTCGAATGCCGCCTTAAGGTCGAGAAATACTATGATTGTGGGGCGTCTGAATGTGTGTCTGTGTTCTAGAACCTGACGTAGTGTGAATATCTGATCTATACAACCACGTCCAGGTCGAAAACCAGCCTGGTTTTCTCTAGTCTGCTCTTCACGAGTTTTAGTTGGGCGTCGAAGTATTATTGAGGCTAATATTTTAGACACTATATTAGTCAAACTGATTCCTCTGTGATTGTCACAAGAGGACTTTTGTCCTTTCTTAAAAACTGGCACAATCAGTGATTGAGACCAGTCAGATGGGATTACGTCCAGTTCCCAAATTCTACCTAAGACCTCGGTTAATCTCATTGCTAATACTGGACCACCATCCTTAAAAATCTCAGGAGTAAACCTGTCAGGGCCTGCTGCTCTCCCTCGTTTCAGATTTCCTATGGCTTTTTCAACTTCGTAAAGGGACGGAGGACTTGCCATTCAGGTTGACTGAAGATCGTGGGAAACCAAAGTGTGGCTGAAGGCCAGTTGAACTGATCCCTAATGTGTTCTGCCCATCGATCCAATCTCCTGGATTGAGAATGAATAATATGTCCATCTTTCTCTGAGATTGTTTCGCTAACGGTCGGGTTCCTAATTCCGGTTTCCTTAACGAGTCTAAACAATTGTCTGCTATTACCTATTGCCGCTGCCTTTTCCATCTCTCTTGCTTTCGCTACCCACCACTGTTCGCGATCATTGCGTAGACTTCTTGTCAGCTTGCGCTTAAGCTGACTCCGCTCTTCATTATGTTCAGAGCCAAGTGGAATGAGTTCTCGAACATCTATCAGTGCGATAGATGCTGCTGCAATCCAGTGTTTCTCCCTAACCTTCTGGTTTACCGTACTAGCAGATATCACTGCTGTTTCCACAGCTTTTCGGATATCATTCCATGCTGCCTCGGGGTGGGCATCACATACATGGCTGCCTAACTGTTTTCCTAGTTGTTCCTGAAATATACTCTTAGCTTGACTATCATTAAGTAGGGCCCTAGGAGGTTTCCTTGCAGGATCTTTCCTACGTCCAGTAAGACGCAAGCAAATACGCGCTCGCACTAGAGCATGATCTGAATCTAGGCATGTGCTCCAGAATGAGCGACAGTCTTCTATCGAGCCCCTCCATCGGTGGCTGATAGCGATGTGATCTATTTGGGTCCAACGTTGGGACGAATTAGGGGGTCGCCATGTCAAAAGATGTTTTTCCTTATGCTTAAAGTTAGTATTTGCAAGGAACAGGCGGTTATCTGAGCATAGCTGCAACAGACGGTCGCCATTATCTGTTCTTTGAGCCACGACACCATAGGATCCACCTAGGTGTCTTTCCTTATCGCTTAGTTTACCTACTTGAGCATTAAAGTCACCGGCCACTATTACTACATCCGAGCGCTTAGCTTTTCGGAGAAGGTCCGAAAGCTTTCTGTAAAACTCATCTTTTACATCATCTGAGCTGCAGTCAGTGGGAGAATAGGCAGAGACGACGAAGAGGCAACGACGAGTGTCCCTATCTTTCCGAATTCTTACTGTTCCGTTCAGTCGGACAGCGCACAAACGACTGTTTACTGGGATCCACTCTAAGAGGGCTAGTTCTGCCCTAGGACTCAATGCTATACCTACGCCAGCGAGGCCACGGGAAGCAGAATCAGGGCTTCCAGATACACGAAGCGTAAATCGAGTCGGTTCTTTATTTTGGCATGGTGAGGTCAAATGAATGACGCTACTTGGATCCTGTATGCGCGTTTCGGAGACGCAGCACACATCGATGGCGCGAGATTCTAAAGTTTTAGCTAAGGAAGCCTGCTGTCCTATTTGGCAAAGTGTTCGTACGTTAAAAGCTCTTACGTGTAGTTTAGAGCGTGGTTTCAGGAGACCAGGAATGGCGTTCCACGTACTCGAATCGTTTGCCCTAGCGGTGCGAGGTGTTAAAGAGACGTGAGGAGGGTTAGTCGGGAGGATAAGAGAGGTATTAGGAGGTGTAGGAAGGATTTGAATGTGACCACCTTGGTCTCTTGTGCTGTTACGGGTATGAGGGCTGATGTCACTTCCCGGCTGCCCACACCGTGGAAGGGTATTTCTTGAGGAACCTGAAAAGGAAATTGGATTAGTGTTGGTCTTGACAACCTGGGAGTGTGACCGCAGAGCCCAAGGGACAACTGCTTGAGGCCGGTCGCGCACGGCCTTTTTGTGGAAGGTTTTTGACGTGTTAGCTCCGTTCTTCAAGGGGCCTTACCGCCGGAGACGGAAATCCGTGAGGTAAGGTGAGGTGTGCATTTTTAGGGTGGACCTTTTCTAACCCCACCCCTCCTTGTGGGAAGGCAGCATCGCTGTCATGCTGGTTGTCCGAGGGAAACACCTTACTGCTGTCACACCTCTCTACAGTCAGCAGTACGACTTCGCCCTCAGACCTTGAGTTGCTGCTTTTAGTCTTACCGTTCGCCAATCGACCTGCCTGGCATGGTAGAACCTGCAGGAACATATGTTCCAGCCAATATAGCTCGGTTGGGTCATCACGATAGGCAAGCCCGACCACCGCGTCAAGGTAGTAGCTTCGATCGGGTCAAAAGTGTCAACTCGGAAAGGTGCACGTCATCATCTGTTCATAATATGCAGGAACGAAACCTAATTTCAATACATGTAGCCGCTTATCTGAACTTTCGTAAATGAAACTTATAGTTTTCGAAAATGTTTCTTCATTAAAGATATCAATAATTCTTTTTTCCAAAAATATAGCTATTCGTTATAATCTTGAAACAGAATGGAAAAATTCGTTTCCTCATTTACGTGAAATGGATCGTGAAGAATTATTTGAAAAAGCTCGTAACAATATATTAGATGACCTAATATCATTAAATGGTATCAGCTCCACTGTATGGGAGAAAAATATTCATTACGAATTATGGAACAAACTAAAAGATTATATATTCACTAAAATAATTGAACCCTCACAGCACATTGACGATATAGGGTAAGGTTTTTGTAAATTGTTTGTTATGTATGATGCATCGTTGGTGTTATTTTAAATTAACTATGTAACGAAAAAAATATGGTAAATCTTTTACTATTCGAACTTCTGTTTCCTCAAGCTTTGGCACTAGCCTAAATTCAGTAATTAAGTCTAATTCTATGTACGCCTTTGCTATCTATAGTTATTGTGTGCAAGTTTCAAATTCCATCCGATTATCTAGACTGAGTTGTAAAATACAGTATTTGATTCAATAACCCCGATTATTGCAATCCTAGTGATAATGTTGTGAATTAGAATCTGATAATTAGTAACGAACGACATTCGGGAGATTATGAAATCAATAGATCCAATACTAATCAGCTGATAATACACATTTGTACGATGTAGTCGATTGATAACTGCTCATGAGACCAAACGATTGATGTAGACACCCAACTGAGACAGAATAGCTACTCACCGGAATAGATTTTTACATACATTAAATGAAATGATTATGTACAAATATTAACATAAACTAAATATAATTAGATGCTACGACCAACTGAACAATATCCTCTTTTGATTGCACACTCTCCAATAAATGCAAACTTTGGCCATCATATCAGACAATACCACAGAATTATCGTTTTTTTATCCTAGGTAAGCTAAGCTAATCAAGTTATTTATTTACAGTATGAAATATCTATCTTATCTGGCCAGTTTTGACCGGTCATTCTCAGCGTCACGTTCAGCAATTAATGTTCAGTGTGAAATTCATGTGGTGCATATGTCACCTTACCCACGTACGAAGAACATTTAAAAATAGGGAACTGATCCTTTCTATCATTAACCAAATAGGCAGGCCCATATATTCAATAAACACAAAGTGTGGGGTTTATCTATTGCCTACAACCTCTTCTAGTGCTGCATATGCTACTGAGCTTTCATCCTAACTTAATTACTTGACTTTTGGCTAGTGTGTCCCGTACTCAAATTATGTTCTGCAAATTTATGTTTAAATACCACCTAGTACATTCGGCCAACACAGATATGTGTAAACACATTTTTTCACTTATCCAACCGAGTTACAGTGAATTAATTTTTTTTCCAAAATTATTAGTCACCTATTTTAAAGATTTTGTAGCATATATGCAAATTTGCACCGTAAAATCACTAGTTAAAAACTTTATGTTGATCCAAATCAACAAAATAGTCAGTATTTTCTAGATTTATTTGATTGTTGCAATTCCTAGAACCTTTCAGACAAACGTTGATATTTGGCTTCGTGATTGGGTTGAAAATAGTTTACCGAAAGCTTCAATTGAAACTGGTTTGCAGACATTATACAATCAACTGGATAGTAAATTAAAAACGATGAAAGATGTACCTGGTTATGATCCAGTATTTGATCCATTAAAAGTGACTGTACATCAAGAAATTCGTAAGCGTCATCACTGGGATCCTAAAGCTGAATCCAGATTGGTAAGTTTATCATTTTTATGCATTTTCTTTCATATATACATCTAATACTAGTGGTGTAGCAAACTATCTTTTTCTGGTATTTCAAATTCATGAACCAAATAACATCTTACGTTCAACTTATTTCTCTTAGTTGTGTGTTGAAGTCATCAGAAACACTGACTACTTTTCTCCTTGTCTGATCGTCTTTTCTGTTTACAGTAAAATTCGACCTGTCCTCTGCTTATCCAAGTTGTTAGTTTATTTTTCAGAGAGAGTCAGGTAATTTGAAAGTTCGAAGTTTGTCAAATCTCTTCACTGCTTGTGTAAACAATTTGGGAAAAACTCATGTTAAACGGGAAAACTTGAGTCTGTTAATCAACGAGTGGTCTAAGTTGAAACGCGGTTTTATATCTTCAACAAACTGTCCCTCCATTAGAGACAATTAAAGTATATCGTAAAATTTCAGCAGTTTACTGCAGGTCGAAAAAATAGGATTCTAGGTCTACTTTGGAAGAAGAGAATTACCTCAAGTATTGACTTCAAAATATTTCGAGCATGTGAAGTTTATAAATAAAGGCCATATTTAGTGTGTTTTGTGACAACTTCAGTTAACCTGTTGACTGAATTTGCACGCACTGAAAACATAGAAATATTCGTTTTTCAGGTCATTTTCTGTTGCGTTTTACGAATTACTTCAGATTTCTGTTGGTATGCTAACATCTTCACGCGGAATATAACCAACTCCATACTGGTTGTTTATTTCCGAGGTCACTTGATAACTTATTTCAGTCATTAACAACGTAGAACTTCATACGTACGTACATCAGTTCGAGTTGCCACACCACATTAGCACAGAGATGCAGTTGTCTGATAACTTATTTAGCACGCTTTTATCAAATACTTAGTTTGGTTTCTTAATAATGACCTTATGGTTTTAAAATAATCGACTATTTGAATATTTATCCCATGGTTATTAATAAATACAATATATGGGACTTTCTAATCAAACACTTGTGAATTGATAAATTTATATTTCTATTACATATTTTTCCCGAATACTTCTGTTATTGTAATTAATTAATTTCATCTTAGCGTGTCATACAATCGAATGCTTTAGACGATCATACTGTACATACAAAGTCTCAGTGGACCGCTGCTGTAGATCTACTAGAACAAGCAGTTAAAGCTCGATTAAAAGATGGTGAGTTTTTTTATAAATCTTATGATTTACTCAGTGGTGATCGTATATTTCTTTCGCTTATTATTGTTGAACTAGACGAATACTAGTATAGCTAATTCCTATATCCTCCGGACAAAGCTGGTTATTTTCCCTGTAATAACTAATCATTGTTTGATACGGTTCGATTTAAGAAAGAAGGCAAAACTGCAGATGAAGAGTTTATTACTCTTCAAACACAAATCCAACATTGATTCAAAATGTACTGAATTACATCTGATTTACTTAATAGGTCTATATACAAATTTAAATTTACTGAACTAGATTTAATTGCATTAACCAATATTACAATAAGTTACAAAGTTGCATATTTCTTTCTTTCTAACAATCGTAATTTGTAAGTATAGAGTTGTGGAGATTGTTGAATTTCATTGAAGGCATGAACTGATCAATGTTGGACTGCCATTGAAAACCTGGAAGCATTGAACGGCCGTTTCATCTTAGTATGGAACCCCTCAGAAGTTCACATCTACGACCCCACATAAGGCAATCGAACCCAGGACCTTCGGTCTCGCGGGCGAACGCTTAACCTCTAGACCACTGAGCCGGCATCCAACGGTGTTAATGTCTAACTTCAATTAATCCACAATAAAGCCCGACTATCTATTGTCTTCAGTGGGCAACTGCCTTACATCCGACACGATTGAACTTTACTGGTCACGACTTCTCACTAAAAGTCCAAGAATTTCCTCTCGAAGCTACATTACTTCATATTTTTTCACTCCAATGAAGCGTTGGGTTAGTGATGGAAGCAGTAGATTTTCGACTGACAGGTCACAATTTCGAGTTCTGCTCCACTTCCATCCGTCTATACAACTAGGTGATAGTATCACCAGCACTTACACTAAAATTGTAACTTACAACTTACTAGCCGGTAAGGGACTTACATTATAATATATTTTCCACTTGGTGTTCCAGTTTCATTTTTTGTTTTTTCGTAATTACTGACTCAGTCATTTGAATTGTTTAATTTGATTGCTACACGTAATCTTCAATGCTAGTTTTTTCTAATTTGAAGTGTAAAATTAGACTATGATGATATTTATAATAATAAAATACTTGCCTTTTCCCGGAACCAAACGTACATTGGATCCCATTCATGGGAATTATTCAACAGTATTCTTCCATTTTGTTTCCTGAAAAAATACTTGTCTTTTCTACCTCCTCAGTAAATCAGTCGATTACTTCAAGTTTTGGTCCTGGATGGGTTGAGCAATGGACTCGTTGGAAAAAACGCACAGCAGAAGAAGATGCTCGTTTACAAACCGCTCAGGAGATTGAAAATTTATTAATATCACTTCCAGTGAGAGTTGTTTCACTTATCTTAGTGAATCACTGTCTTTATGCTTTTAATATTATTTTCGCCAAAATAAAAACGAGTGTACCATTCAAACCACTATTTTTGCTACATGTCCAGGTGATATATTTAAATTTCTCATATCTTACTATACAAACGGATAGGGCAATAAACAAATGTCGAACAACAGCTTCATAGTTCAGAATAAATGCACTTTTCTCTTATCCCGTGCCTTCAAACCACATCGTGTTTAATCACTGTCATCACTATGGTTTCGCCTGGTTTTGAAATAGTATTGTTTTTAAGACCATCACAGGTCGGTCATTAGCTTTATGTCTGTATGCATGCGTTGGAGTTTGCTATTCAGTGAGTGAATTTATCTTAAATGTATCGTCCCAACATTTTATCATTAATAGTTCTTCTACAACTTCTACTGTATGCTTAAAGTGATCAATAAATAACAAAAGGGATCATATTCTTTTTTGTAGACAAAGATTATGCATAACTGAAGCTTCAGTCGATTATTGTAAGCGTAGCACCACAAAGACACAGGGTTATACGTTAAACAGATGTATTAAAACTGACGAATGTATGTTTTTGTGTAATCGTGATTATTCGCCCTAGTAAAAGAGTGTTGACAATGTATATCTGATTTCAGCTTATATCACATAAAATAATAACTTATGGAAATAGATAAAAAATAAACTCATCACCCAGTTGCATTGCAAAATATTTAACACTGTTCAACATATTATTAATCTAACTTATGTCATACAGTTGTATTTACAAGACTGTCTTATAACTAAATCCAACTGATACGAGTCAATATATTTTTACACTAAATTGATCTATATTGCATTTGTGGTGCTTAGAAAATCTCGTTATTTATCTAACTATGGCATTTTATATTGTCACAAAATGCAGATATTTTTTTTAATATGAAAAGTTGAAACAGTAAATTCAATTGTTTCATTTTCGTAGATTTTGTTAATCTCTAATAATTTCTACATTTTTCATTAAGTGTTTTTGAAAATTAATTACATTTCCTTTTGAATTGTTCATTTTGTTTCTTTATGCAGAAACCATCCGCTCATATTAATCAAGATGATTTAACTACTATTAGACGTAATCTTCAAGCTCGTAATGTTCCTGTGACTGATAAAATTGTGAGTTTATTTTATCTTAAAGGAAACATATCTATGTAATCCTGTTTAGTAATAATTGCTACTATTCATCTACACTTGTGTTTGATACAATAATAAATGTCTCTACTGTATTGTTTCCTAGTTCTTATGATTGTAAAAATAACTGGGCTATTTTTTTTAGCTTCTACATTAGGCTTAGGATTTAGTTTCTTTCAGTTTTGGCCTACATGGATCTTCTATTTTCATGAATCTTTGGAATCCCAGAGTTTTATACACTATTTAATCAATGTACGTAGAACTGCTCATCGCTGTAAACACAATATAATTATGTACTTTTATGAAGATAGTAATTAATAATTGCCTAATAAGAACAGAGAAAGTTAAGGCACAAGCTGAATACACACTGAGGCAAACAAACAAGTCAAGGAAAGTGTTATAGCCCAAAGCCGCCAATCAGAAGCAGCGAATTATCGATTGGACCAAGAACGCGTAAAGCACGTGCGAGCAGCCTAGAGTCCCGATTGGTCCTGCTTTCCGCCTAGCCCAGCCACTGCAATATAAATCATTATATTCCATACATGCTGAGTTTATATACCAATCAAACAGACCACAACGTACTAATAAAATATGAAACAACATTTGTACAAGAATTAGCCAGATGTGGCTGTGAATGAGGGAGGTAGTAATTAATATACTGGGTATAACTCAAGAATGGTAAAACGTATAATAATAATTTATGGGTCAAAGTAAAGCTTATAATAAGAGGAATATGAATATGCATAGTTTAGTTACTTAATAATTATACAGTAAAATATGCGTTTAGTATTGGTCCATCAATAGATCCCAAAAGTTACCATTCATTATTCTTGTCGGGACATAACAGAGAGCGTTAGAGCTGACAAGCAGAACTACGTGGAAGACATAGCAACGACAGCGGAAAAAGCTGCAAGAGAAGGGAATATCAAATAATTATATAACACAAGGAAGAAACTGGAAGGCCAATATAATAAACCAGAGGGACCTGTCAAGAACAAAGAAGGCAATTTAGTCACTAAGATTATAGAACAAAGGAACAGGAGCGTAGAACACTTTGAAGAACTCTTGAGTATACCAACCCCATCGAATCCACCAAACATCGATGCGGCACACACAGACCTTACCATAGATGTCACTCAACTAACGATCGAAAAGATCAGGATGGCCATCAAATAAATCGAGAGTGGGATAGCAGCCGGACGTGACAACATACCAGCTGAAGCACTGAAGTCAAACATGGAATTAACTGGAAACATACTTCACACTCTATTCAGGAAAATGTGGGAGGAGGAACAAGTGCTAAAAGACTGGAATGAATGATATCTCATCATGATACAAAAGAAAGGATATCTGAGCAAATGTGAGAACTAAAGAGATATAACATTACTAATGGCACATGAAAACGTTGTCAACAGAGTGTTGCTGGACCAAATGAAGGATTCAATGGACGTCAAGTTTTGAGATCAACGTTCCGGACTCCTTAAGGATCAGTCGTGCACAGACCAAATCGCGACACCACGGATCACTGATGAACAATCATTTGAATGAAATTCGTCACTATACATCAACTTTCTTGACTATGAAAAGGAGTTTTGCAGTGTGGATAGGAGAACATTATGGAACACAGAGAACATCAACCCAATTAAACTTGATGGAGAAACTCTGTATGAGGTGGAAACATTCATATACCTGGTCAACATCATCGATGAACGTAGAGGCAGGTATTGGCAAAGTAAAGACAGCATCCCTACAGTTGAAGAACTTATGGAACTCAAAACGACTGTATGCTAATATCGAAGTCAGAATCTTCAATATGATCGTCGAGACAGTTCTATTGTATGGAGCTGAAACATGGAGAACTAACACAACCATAATCGAAACAGTATAAGTATTTCTAAACAATTGTCTACAGAAGATACTCAATGTCCGTAGACCGGATGCCATCAGCAACAGCCTACTGTGGGAGAGAAGAAACCAGTTTCCAGTTGAATAGGAAATTAGGAAAAGTCGTTGAGAGTGAACACGACATACATAGCAGAAATCATCAAACTGCATCATGAGGCAAGCCCTAACTTGGAATCCTGATGGAAAAAGGTAAATAGGAAGAACAAAGAACACATTGCACCGGGAATTGGGAGAAGACATAAAAACGATGAATAGCAACTGGAGACAGCTGGGAATGATCGCTCAGGAAAGTGTTCGATGGGGAATGCTTTTGGGCGCCCTATGCTCGTCCACATGGGGTAGCAAGCGTAAGTAAGCAAGTTTATGAATAGTGTATTTCGAACGTGTATTGAATAGTTTCAAATTTTGAACTGAACAGCCTAATTCTTAACAATATTTTTTTTCAGTTTAGTCACCATATTGTTTTTTTATGGATTCATGAATAAAACTGTTCCATTAAGATACTGACTCCTTAGCTAATTCTAGACTCCCAAAATTCTCAGCATTTGAGTCGTCGACGAAACTGAATGACAGAATTATAAAAATTCTCTAATTTCATTGTTGGTTCCTGTATGGGAAACAAAGTGTATTAATAGTTACCCGTGACCCTGATACTCCAGAAACTACAAAGTAAAGCAAGGCTAGTATTAATTTTATCATGTTAATCAATCACATTTTGAAAAATGAAAATTTGTATTTTTAGATTTTAAGGAATTTACAAAGATACTAGTTAGCCAGTAGTTTACTTTTTTTCTACATGTAATGCATAATTTTTCTAAAAGATTTCAATTTTGTTTACTTTCAAATGTTACGTTGTTGTCAGATTTGTGAAACTTGGGAACCTTTAGTTCGACGTTTTTATCTTGAACGATCTTTGTTTGTTTGTCAAGAGTGTCGAAAAGGCTTTTACTATTATCAGCATGGTTTTTTGAATACATCTTCATTTAATAAATCCTCTAATACCAATGAACATACATCTAATGCAGCTGAAAATTCTCGTTTACGTAAAGATTCATTGTCATCTGATTTCCCTGATTGTCGTGAAGTGATCTTTTTCTCTCGCCTGAATCGTATGATGAATGCAACTAGTAATGCGCTTAGACAACAAATTATGAATGATGAAGGTAAGTTGTATGGTTATAATCTGGTTTCTGGATCTAATTACTTCTGATAATGAGAATTATATGCAAGATTTCAGTCCTGTAGACTACATTTGCTACATCGTGTATAGATGTCAGGAATACAGTTCAATAAAGGGCTGTAGCTAGTCTTTGTTACTTCACGTACTGTATATACAATTGGATTTTTCCTTAGATATACTTAACAGTCGTTGAACGATAGGTAAACATACGAAAGTTTCGATAGAATTCGGGTGCAAAAGTGCAATTATAAAAACTTCTCTAAGGCTTGAAAAACGTTCTTTAAAAATGTTTTACGAAAAATTGAATTTGTGTCAACGTTTTAGTTATGTACATATCTACGAAATGTATGTTGGATTCTAAGTTACTGAAGGATCTCCGATGGTTTGTTTATTGATTGGTCTACAATTGTTCTATCTTAGAATGACTTAAATATAAATAACTAATGGTAATTTTTGGTTTCCTAGTATGACGTTTTTATTTAAGACGTTATGAAATAACCGCATACTTGAAACATTTCATTTATTTGATGTTCTGGTTCACACAATTTTTCAAGTATGTGCCACCCACATTTATGGCGTTGTGTAAAGTATACCTGTTGTACAAAGTCATTCTGATAAGTTGTGATGGCTTCTTAGTCCATATAGATTTATTGTTTTAACTTTATACAGTTTAAATACCTAAGAATAGGGTATTTCAGCTTATTATAAAGCTTTATTCAAACTAGTTGATTGACATAACTCACACTTCAGTGTAATAAAAACAATATTATTTTGGTATTTTTTTCAACTTTATCATATTTATTGAGTGAGATGGTTTCCTGAAATTTTCCGTTTATTTGAAAGTTTATTCTTTATCACTTACTCTCATCAGCATAAAAACCACTAGAAGTGACCATAGAATACTGTCTCACTCCAGTGCAGAATTCCTCGACAGCGAACACCCATGTTTACACACAGGGCTAAACTGAAGACGTTCTTGTTTCTCAGTCTCATTAAATGACTGGACCGAATCCTGTCTATTCAACTTATCCATCTTAAGTCATTTTATAGCACTGTACGATTCTCGTTGACTGTCATCGGTGAGTTAATATCTTCCTACCAAGTTGCTTGATTCCATACCTGACCGGTTCCTACTAGAACTTTGGAAAAATGATCAAAATCCTAGGTACTGGTGGGCATTGTATTTCTGATATGTTGTCTCTATCAATTCGTATGAATTTGTTTTATTTAATTTATTGGTTTTTACATGTTACTAGTTCAGCAGTTTTAATCATCAATCAGATTTAACCTTCTCTACCAGCCATTGAGAATATATCTTTAATGATTCCTTCCCATACAATTTATTTGTAACTAGCACGTCGTTTAGAACATTATGTAAAGCAAGTTTTAAACGAATTGTCTAATGATCCTATTCGTGTAAAAAAGCTTATCATTGGCAGGCGTGTACAATTAGCTGAAGATTTAAGTGAGTCATGGAGTCTGTTATATTAGTTTTTAATACTTGAAATGTTAATTATTATAACATCCTAACAAACTAAAATTCCAGGAAGTAGTATGTCGTTGCTTGTTTGTAGTTAGGCCAGAAATTGAGAAAACGCTTACTTAGCAGAGATATCTTTCAATGAATTTTTATGGAATCTCCCTATTCGTATAAGTATCGCATTTTCATGTTTAACGCATTTGAATAAATATAGACAATAATAATAAAAATTGTTTCTTTTTTTCATCTGACAAGAAATATATATATAATTGTATGTATGTACAGTGCAACCTTGTACATTTTTTATTTACTGGAGTTAGAGTCATATGTTCCGTGTGAAAACTAGTGAAATTAGTCAGTTATCGAATTCTATGTAGAGTGGAGTTTGAACTTAAGGTTTTATGGTTTAGAGTTGAATGGTCTGACCAAAGAGCCACTGCTCTTTAGTGTATGTAGTGCGATAATCCTAGCTACTAGTATAAAGGAATACTGCTAAGGCGGTCGCAAGAGTAGTCAAGTTTTACTAGAAAGGCTAACATTTCTTCAGGAACGATAATCGCTCACACATTTCCTATTAATTCAATTTTCCACATGACCTTTGCCCTCTGATTGATTGTCATGTTTTTTTAGTTCGCTGAATAACTACATACTTGTAGGTCATATTCTGCTACTAGGTAACAACTGTTTTACCGATTTAGTTTGAATTGCTTGTCGTATCACAAATATCAAGTTACCTGCAATTCCGTTTTCTTCCTATCTTAGCCGTCAAGGTTCTATTTGTTGAGTATAATTGACTGTTGTCAGTTCCGAAAAGAACCGACAGTATTAGAGTTGCTCAATCGGTTCCGTCTCTAGATCCGTAACATCGTAGACCGTGCTGAACCTCAGTAACGAGACACAACAAATACTTATGATCCTTTTTCATCACATATATGGAACATGATATGTAATATGACGATAAGACAAAATCAGTGATAATTTCAAAGCACTGCATTTTGTGTTCAGTTTTTGTCATTATTGTACGAAAAAACATGATGAATTCTACTGATAATTTGGATGTCTGGCTGGGACAATTAGTAAAATCTATGTAGGTCGTTTCAAGTTGTCGTTGTATAAATTGTTTGGGATCCTGGTAAATTAGTTGTTTAGTAATCGCCGACTAAAATACATTTTAGCATACATATTCAGGTCAAAAGGTTGGCCAAGTCATAAATATACTGTATTGATCAATTCGATATCCTCATTTATCAGCAGTAATTTCCTTTGATTTTTAGTGGAAGTAAACCAGTAAATTCTTTGTTTTTCGCTACACCATCCCGTTTCAATTGTGCATACTGCGAGTTTTTTCTTTTTGACAGGTCGAACAAGACATATTCAAGAGAAATTAGAAGAGTTCATTGCAGCTTTAAAAGCAAGCGAATAACTGTGATAATGATCTTCGTTTCTCCAAAATTACTTAGTGTCATGTTAAAAACACTATGCACACATGCACATACATTTGGTTTCATTATGTAATTACTTTTATGTTTCTCATTATGTACACTTTTTCCGTTATAAAAGATACTTTTCATGATTATTTTATGTTCAATGTCCATTTCAAAATGTATAAGTGTTTATTTATTGCTCATATTGGTTAAGCTGCTATTTTAAATAAGTTTCGTTAGTTAATTGAATGTTGAGTTTTTATGTAATATAAAATGAAAAAGAACAATTACCTATACTTAAATGCTATCTTATATGCGTATCTGTTTGAATGTGTTTATTCTTCCATACTATACACGCACATGTTTTCTCACCTGTTTGTTGTTCAATTAGTTTTTTTGTTTTAATGTAATGATGTTAGTATCTTCTCGTTTAAATTATTGTTCATGTAAATCTTACCGGTTATAAAATTCATTTCAAATTAGAATAAAAATATTTTGTTTTGCTTATATATGTTAAGGGAATTTGATTCAACAAAGAAGTTATCTTTCATTATATGACACTGAATCAATGTATAAATGTCCGATTCTTGTTTTTGTGGTCGGAAATCAAGTTTAACGATCTTCACACTTATTGTTAAGTTTTCTGTGAATAAAGTCAATTAATGGTGTAAAGTCGATTACTGTGTCATCTCGTCCTCCCAAGTATCTTCTCTGGAAAAGCTTGTACCTGGGCTGGCAGGCAGACTGAATCCTGTAAATTAAAAGTTACAAATAAGTATTTACAATTATATTTTGTAGAAGAGCCCACAACTAAGGAGAAAGGCAAACTCGAAAAGTCATGTCCTACTAAAACGTAAACGGTCTTCGAGTCTTATTAACATTAACTGAGTTTCTGAAATTACTATCTAAGTATACTGATACACATTTCACTCTTCGAGACTAAAACTAGTATTCGTGGTAAACACAAAAAGTAACTGCAGAATAGTTTACTCAGCATTGTACTGTCATCCAATTTAATATAATTGCGAGATTTAGTTACGTGATTTAAGTACTTAAGAGGTAGGTGTTGGTAGTTGTGAGTACATTCCTCTACAAATTATGTATTCAGCTTCAAATTGTGGTGAATTTGGGTTATTATTCAATTTTGTCGTACCCAACGCATACTTTTTTGCTTTATATTTGATACTATCATATCGTAGCTAATGTGAACTCATTCGATTAAATATCTTGGTTGGTTGGATAATTGCTCTTATGTCTTTCCTAACCTCTTCTGCTATCACTGATACAGTTATTATTTTTACTATTCTGGGATTTGTCGTAATTTCAACTTCATAGGTTGATATGGTTTGGCAACTTGGAGTGATGCATACATTTGTCTTCTGCAACTGTCATCATTTAAGAACTGATTTGAACTTCTATACTCCTTTTTTTCATCTTGCATTATGTTTTAACATGTGATCAGTTGGGTCGTATGTTTTTCTAATATTCTCTTTTATTTCCAGTCAAGACTATATCTGTATTAGTGCATGTATAGTTGACAAACTTCTGCTCATGTATGTATAAAGAAAGTGACATTAATTGAGTACTTACTTTGTTTGATTGTTCTCCTAGTACTTTGTACTCCACTTATATGATAAATAACTTAAATTATACCCAGACATTGTCTATTTACGGAGGTTATTTTCCATTAGATAATTAGTCCGGCAAATAACTAATAGATTGTCAATAAATTACAAGTTTTTACAACTACAGTTAACCATATTCTATAGTTTCAGAGAAAACAGTTTTTATGCAGAACATTTTGTGTAGTAACTCGTTGATTCTACATTTATTCAGTTTCAGTAACGGTCATATGATACGAAGTATGATCGAGAATGTTTTATTATTCTAACTTATAGTACACCTCAACTGGAACTTTTATATAAAAAAACTCCATCAGTTTACACCATCTTAATTTTCCCATATTTTCTACATTAACTTTGTTGATGAACGTTGCGTAATCGATTTTCAATTATTTTAAAATTATCAGGCTGACTTTCAACGACCAGAGAATAGTATCTTAAAATTGAGCTTGTTGAAATCTCCGTTACGTTTTAACCACTTTTTCAATGTCTGTTTTATGAACCAATTTAAAAAAACAATTTTTCAGTATATGGGATCTATTTAGAACTTGGATATTAATTTTTATTAACTTTCTACAAATTAACATTAAAAAGAAAAATGAATCCATATTCTGGCTATTAGATGAACAAATTGACTATAGATAAATTTTATGTCAAAAGGATTCGAGCTTATTATGACGATACAACAAGCACAGAAATCGAAGAAACGGACTCGATGCTTTATTATAAAACTCAAACATTTTATTGTAAAGTTGAAATAGATATTCCTACATGTATATCTGATCACGATTGGACAGTTGGTCTTGTTCAAGCTTGTGATTATATGTATTTAGCTAATGATTATGAAGGAATTGGTCAATCACTTTGGGAATTTCATCCATTAAAAAGTGGTCTGAGACAATTAATCAATGATAGCGATGGGCTGCAATATCCATTTTATAGTGTTCATCAAAGTTTATATAATATTAAAAAAGGTCCCTTAAAAAAATCAACTCTAAATTTACATGTGAAAGATTATTTTCATCCTTCTGTTGTCTGGGAATTACCTTTTTCTGGTGGCGTACGACTAACTGAAATTATTAGACAACAAAAATTTCTAATTTGGTTAGTAGCTATCAAATATGGAAAAACGTTTTCATGTAAAGATGAGATTACTGTATTGGAAAAAATACGTTGGGAATATGACTTACGTATAAAAGTTGATCCATTTATGCCTCTGGGTAGTCGTATACGCAAAATTTATGATATCCAACATAATGGGGTTATTTTAACAAACTCGGATAAACCTTACAGACTACCCATCTCTGCAGCACATCCACCCCACTGTAATGCTGCCCAATCATTAATTTGGTATCCTAAAGACCCACACACAACAGCACGTATACTCGTGCCTCCTAAACAAATTATCGTTCCGTGGGAAGAATGGGTACATGATATGTTAGGTCCAAATGCTAGAGTTTGCAAACCAAATGAAGTTTTTGAGATTGTTGGTGATATAACTTAAGCCGAATTTTATGGAATCATATTTTCTCAAGCAAATAGATGAAAATTACTATTTTCCGTGCTTATATTATAGTGTCTAAATGATTAGAAATGTTTACCATTATCTATAGGACCAGTTTCTAATTAAAATAGAAGAATCTAATGATATATTTTTTACAACAATAAAAACTCAATTTATTGTTTAAATTGCTAAACGCAATTCAAACCAGAAAGACTACCTTTTAATTTATCTAAAGTTGTTATGCCATAAAGCATTACAAATTTATAAAACCTTTATCTTCTCGTATAATCTGTGAAGCACGTTGATAGTAATATCATATACATATACTTATCATTGAGTTAATATACACCTAGTATATTTTATTTTTTGTAGTTTATAAATGTGTCTATGTACATTTAATTTTTTTATATATATTTACATATATATATTCATACCGAAGTGTAATTTTTGGTATTTTCACCCAGTCGAGGACGATCTGTGTCATGCGAAATTGTACAAAATTATTGAGATCTGAACTGCAATTATAGACGAGAAACTGTTTGATGCACTCGGAAACAATCGCCTTCATGTTAAAATGCAAATGATTTTTTGAGATTTTAGAGAATATTTGTAACTCATGAGAAGGATTTCGGTGGTATTATATCCTCAGATCAGTGCATGTGAATAATGTACTGTTAATAAAACTTACGTATAGAAGTTTTAAATTATGGGACAAAATCGACACAGATAATAAAGAACTGTAGTAAGTGATAAGTCTTCTAACTGAACTCTAGATTCGGTTCTACTAATCCCTAGGCTAGATCTACACGACAACTTGAATATGAGAGAAAAGGTGCGAAATATGGGGAGAAACCGTTTACTCTAAAGGTTCATTCATGTACAAAAAATCTAGGGTTTTTATAATATTTGAGATGGCCTTGGGTTTTCGGAAAATTCTGAAATGTTATTGAACATATCAGCATCATCCAATCAGAAACTCAACATGTGACCTTTCACTTTCTAGGTGATTCTGGCAAAACTTCTAGTGAATTCTGATCGGATAAGATGCTTTTAAGCGTTTTCAGAGCCCTTGTTGGCTTTTTTGAGGAGTTTTATGGATTTCCACAAGACATCCCCCCTTTAAAAAGTAAGACATTTTCTTCAGGTCTACTTGCAGCTTGATAACTGGTCTTTTGGGGTGCTCGGACTTTCTTGGTATCCAGCTTCTATGTGTGTCTGCTGGGGTTCCTGCTATTGGAGTATCTGTAATTATGTTTGACCGAAGGCTCACTCGAATATTTATAGTGTTCAGCGTCCTTTTTTCTCTGTTTATTTGATTGATCTATCTAATCCACGTTCCGAAAGTCCCACGCACTTTGTATAAACATTTCCTATTCTTTTTTCAATGACTTCCCGCTCCCTACGATTTTTCCGGATATATGACTTGATGACCACTTTATCTCCAACGTCAAAACTCTGAATATTCTGATTTCTTCTGCGTTCAACCATTGGTTTTGGTGGCAACATGGCTTCAAATATAGTTCGGATGCGTCTCTCAAACATCGCTCCGGCAGGGGACGTTCCATCTTGGACAACATGGTTAGGAGTAGTTCTATACACTGTTAGGAATTGCTTGACTTATCCCCTCTCGTTCTCCTTTCAGTAGTGCTCTTTTGAATGTGTCCACGAAGCACTCTGCCTGTCCATTTGATTTAGGGTGATAGGGTGGAAAGCGTATGCATACAATTCGATTAATGTTTCAGAAGTGCTTGATCATTCTGCAGTAAGTTGTGAGCCGTTATCGGCCACTAAATTCTCCGGAACTCTTAAGCAGATCAACAGTTCAGATAACCTGTTGATTGTTTCACTGGCCGGGCAATTTGCCATGGCATAGATTTGTGGCTATTTTGTGAGTGCGTCCATTATGACTAGAAACATTCTTTCTCATATTGGGCTGGCAAAATCTAAATGCAGGGTCTCCCCGTATTCGTTGGCTTTTTTCGAGGACATTTCTGGATCTCCCCAACAGTAAGTTTTTAAATCAACCCATCTAACAACCAACAAATATATTTGTAAGATCCATTTTGAAGGTTTTGTGTGTTGGTGAAAATCCCTCCATGTATATACTTGTACTTTGTTCCTATTGATCCCCTTAGTTGTACATTGTTGTATTTTGATTACATTTGAATTGTTAATGCTTGTATTTTTTTATTATAGTTTTTGTTTTTCTTACGCATTCACTAAGTTTATGTTTCTTCCTGAACTGCATCTGTGTTGTTTTACTTGACACTTGTTCTTGGCGGTAGCCATATTGATTTGCTCCTCCTTTTGTGTGTTCTATCCAGTCAGGATAGAATGACGTTCATTTGTTGTGACTGGTAATTTTCCCTCATCTTTCATCAACTCCTTTATTTATTGTAATTTAGATTTGATTGATTGAACAATTATTGGTTGAATAGCCGGGTGGTAATATTTGTTTAGAACCGCTATTTACCCGATTACTTGTTTTGATTTCGACGGGAAAGGGCGCGTGTCTAAAGTCCCTGGTCGGCTATTCTTCTATCCAAACTGTAATTTGGATTCTGCAATATTTAGGTGAATTTAAACGATTAGAAAATGAAAGAAGATAGTTTACTAAATGATCAGATTTTGGAAAAATGTAAACAACAAAAATGTGATTATTAATCCCACCTATTCACATCCCAAGCTGATGGAGTAAACGGTCAACTTTCTGCAAAGTGATTCTAAACGTCTGCTCCGTTCTGAAATTTTTACTGGTACGTTTTGGAAGGATAGTTTAAGTTTCACTACCGAACTGTCCACCGTAGAGTGTAAGAAATGTCAATCATATTGTTCTACTTCCAGCTTAATAGTCTAGGAAATACTAAAAACTAGTTCGATGTCACTGTTTCAATGTGGCTTGCCCTTGACATATCAAAAAGAGCAATGTATAGTAAATGTCATTCTGCCAAGAATTTTATATTTTTATTTGATCTTAAAATTTAGGTAATGAACTAAATAATATAGGGATGCAATAATAATCATCCTTAAAGAAAGAATTTTTGTCGGATAGAGTACTGATGATCAGCTGAAAAACTGACCACATGTGAACTTTATTAACAATGAAAAACTTGGGTGTAAAAATAGATGTTGACAGTATGGAACGAGACTGAAAATTCATACTGAAGTACCTGTAGCGGTAAGTAAATCCACAATATAAATAGCTCTGTTAGTTTTTGAGATTGGATGCTGACCACATTAGATTTAATAGAATCACCCAGCTGAAGGCGCTCGGTCATGCATCCGCACCAGATCACGAGTGTGAACGCCGTGCTCAACATCTACCGCAATCGCTAGCCAGATTAGATCAGACGACTCTCGATATATTGATAGTCATCAAATATATCTTCCAATCTCCTTGATTCTGTCTTTTGATTTCTCTTGGTGGGTACGAGTTATATTAGGTGTTACTGGTTAATGCGTTGTCAAATACTGAATACTTGTGGCATCTTCATTGTTGAGCCCGACGTGATCCGGTACATCAAATCGTAAACTGTGAGTGTGCTCCATTTTGGGATTCTATATATCATTGCCTTATCTTGATTTTTTATACATCGTGATATTTTTTCACTTGTTTTTTGGATATATACATTTATTTCATTCCTTCATACTCGTGCTTGATATTTCACCATGACTGAACAGATACCCAAAGTACTTAAGCTCAAGACTTTGTCCCCGCCCTCGTTTCAACTGATGCCCTTCTGGCAAGACAACATCGAAGCCTGGTTCTGCTACGCAGAAGCCGGCTTTTCCGAGCACGGCGTGATCGACACACGTGCACAATTCCTCGCAGTAGTCAAGGCACTACCGCGCGAATTCAACGGGTACGTAACAACTAGTATTTTACTAGTGATGTTTCTGAACCTTACAAAGCCTTAAAACGTTCGATTACTAAACGAGGAGACCTAGCCGATCGACAAAGGTTAGATCAACTCTTTAATAACGTAGACCTGCAACACGGTTCTGCGACGGACATGTTGCAAAGGATGAGAGAGTTTATAGGCCTAAGAACTTTCGACGAAGGTCTAAACTTCCCCTGCAGGTACAAGCGGTTCTGGTCTCGTTTCAGAACAACGCCTTAGACGAGCTGGCTACATCGGCCGACCGCACCTTAGAAATCACGAAATCTTCAGTCAAAGAAAAGCCTCAAACAACCCAGAATGGCATTGCAGAGTTATGTCATACACTTACGCATTATCTTAATTTTCGTAACGACTATAAACGGCCACCCAACCCACGTAGAAGCACTTCACGTAAGCGATCTATCTCTAAACCACGAGAGGCGGATAACCCCGACTGGTGCTGGTATTATAACCAGTATGGAAAGTCTTCCAGAAAATGCAGAAAACCCTGCAATTTTCCCAAATCAAAATATAAGTTATAAGTTATATATAAGTTATATAAGTTATCGTCAGATGTTTACGTGACTTTTTGATATTGTCGTGATATTTGTAGAAATCGTCAATAATAAGCACTGTGTCTTATATGGACATCGAAACTTTTGTTTTTGCAACAGAACTGGCTATTTAAAGCTTTCTAGTAGTAAACCGTAGCACCAAAACGGTAAAATGACGATACTATTGTATATATGATTTCTTGATGAATATTTGCGGGAATCGAATTCTTTCCAACTGTATGACCTTTGACATACCAGCTACCGTTGTAAAAGAACACATACGTCATGAAAAACTTTATTTTAATTCATGAAGCACTACCACTGGCCATGGTTAGGACAAAAAACGCAAGCATCTTAGTTGTATGCAGAATTTGAAACACTATATGACAATCAAAGTGATTCACAAATTAAAAGTGTTCTTCCAAAATATCCAGGACACTCAAATTCACACATACTAGAGGAGCAAGAGAGACCACAAACAGGCCAACCAACTCATACGATTCAAATGAAAGTTCTCGCCGTCACTTCCGCTACTCAATGCAGTTTCAACAAAAGAGAGGACTGG